ATGGTTTTAAAAAGATCACAAGGATTGTTACAGTTGACAGTTGAGGCAATGTCATCAGAAACAATTTTTTGCAGCTTTAACAATTGTCTGAAAGAAACACCAGCTGTCCGTTARTGTTTGAACAGACATCTGTAACTTGTCCTTTCTCCATTGTCCCTCAGTCCTCCTGCACTTGGCAGCAGCATCATTTGTCCAGGGCTGAGGTTTGAAAGGTCTTATTTTTAATAGAGCCACAGCATCAAACAGTTTGACAGGTTGAGGTAAAACAAGATGAGAGAGCCTCAAAATGTGTCTCTGGTACCCRCCAGGCAGACATTGTAAATAAGAAGTTAGTCTTAATGTTTTGCCTGGTAAAATAGTGGTCAAATAAATAAATAAAAAAGGTAAATAAAGACCCACAGAATCACTGGGGCTGACTGCAGAACTGAAAGCTTCAGAGAACTGAGCAACAGCAGAGGAATTATTGACCCGACAGGACCATGCAGGAGAGAATTCWGCACAACTTCCCCCTGATCAGGGATAAAAGGATATTTGTTTTTCTGTATATGAAGATAAAAAGAATTGGGATGTGTTGTAAAATTAACTCATTGTGCATGTCATTTGCTCAGAGAGCCTGACAGGCTGAGGACGATGAATGGTCTCCTGCACTAATGCTAGATGGTATGGGAAAGATGGACCTCCCCAATGGCCAATCAAGCATCTCCAACACCGCTGCTAYAGCCTCTGAGGTGAGATCATGTCTGATTTTTCAAGACTGACCTGCTCTCTTTGTCAAGTATCATTTGGTAAAGCTGATCTGGAAGCCTTTTGTTGATGAACACCTCCTTTGTTTTCCCATCCAGAAGAGTAGCAGCTCAGAATCTCTCAGTGATAAGGCATCTTCAGAGCTGAAGAAGAGTTTTGATGCTGTTGTGTTCGATGTGTTGAAGGTCACTCCTGAGGAATATGCAGTAAGTAAACAGCGTTGTATGTAGCTCWCTTTTGTTTGGTAAGCTAATCATCTATCACCAGAAAATCTTCAGAAATAAAAAGTGCTGACTTGAGATGGGAGGAGAGGCAACAATAGAGGAGGAAATTAGTTTTTGATCAGTAATAATTGATGATGTTTGACACCGCCAAGCAGGCACTATCAGAAATCCTCCTGCTTCCCCTGCACACATTTACCAGTGGTGTCTGTAAACAAGCAGAAACACATTTCTAACAATTTCACTCTTTTGTGCTCTTCATTTTTCCAAAATAGCTCAAATAAATACATATCTTGAGCAAAGTCTTTATGAAATACTTTAAGCTTTTTTGTTATGTTGTGCTTTGTCCAACCACCAGAGGGCGGTGTGTCTTCATTTTTATCCCCGTTCTACTCGARTTCTTCAGGCTTTTTAATCTTCCTCACTCACATCTGTTACATGTTCTACCAGGAAAATCTCGTTTTTGGAATGATAAAATATGCTCCGACACAAACGYTAAACTTCAAAATTTTTATAAGCATTCCAGTCAATAAAGCAAACTGTGTTTTGTTTGTAGAATAAATTTAAAACGATGAATTTCTACCAAAGCACATGGAACTGTTTTGTCTCCTTCAGGGTCAGATTACACTCATGGATGCTCCTGTGTTCCAAGCCATCCAACCAGAGGTGAGTTGCTGTTTAATTTGTAAAATCACCAGCAGTTTTATGTTTTATGTGCACGTTATTTTTAATATATACTGAGTGGGAGAAAGCAAGTTGCTGGCTTTATAAATTACAACAGACTTTATATTTTTTTAGGCATGTTTTGTAATTCAACATGTTTTTATTTTCAACAGAAATAAGCCTATTTTAGATTTGTATTCTTCTAAAAATCTAAACTATTAAGTGAACATCGTGGATTTAATGGGTTTTTTTTTAAGTTCAAGCTTCTGGTGACCTTTTCTTTAAAGTTCAATGTTCTAATCAAACATGCAACACCRTCAAATATCTCATTCTCTGGTTTAAGATGATATATGAATCATCAAAGGCAAAAAGAACAAACCACACAAACACCCTCTTTTTCTGTTGGAAGGACACCATCTGCTTATCAGCACAAACACCACTGTGGCAGAGCATAACAAGCAGGGCGCTCTGAGATAGCTGTGGCTCCGTATGCCGGCCCACACACTGACCATTTGCAGCAGCAACCTTTTTTATTGTTTCTGAGGGTCACTCACATTCAAGGAGGGCTGAACTGTGGAGCAGATTTACCCCTGGGGATGGATGCTATTGCCCACAAATGGCCTCATGCCCAGTTCTATGAATTTTTTCCTCCATAGCTCTCATTTTACCAACACTGGCCATGGTACGGTCAGAGGACCTGTCTGATTCTCACTGTGCCTTAGAGGCCGTTGAAACACTATC